TTTTTGTTTTTCTTCGGTTTTACTCCTCTCTCTTCTTCAATACATTTCAAACGACGGAGGATGAATATGCTGGAAGAGAAGATATAAAAAAAACATTCTTATGTGCTTTATATTATCATCATTGAGTTGTTTTTTGTTCTGATGTTTGGTCGTGTAAGTATGTATTTTTTGTTTTCGTTGTTGTGTTGAAATAAAGTACTCATAATTAATACTCATTACAAATACCCCAATGGTTATGCTAATTGATACCCAATCCCTAAAACCTGAGTATTTTGAGTGATTTTGGTACATTCAGCTCAATAATCGAGCTCCGTTATATGGATATACTTGATTATGAGGGTATTGAGATGGTTATTCCACTGAATATCATAACCTGTAACTAGTCATAACTCAACATAATGGTATTGTGACATCTCTGGCTATTTGATGAAATAAGTCAATCGTGTGATACATAAAATAACAAAATACAATCGACTGTTGAATATTTTTTCATCAGTTTCATTTATTTTCTTTAGTTTTGTGTATTTAATTGTGGTGAGTAAAAAGTATCTATCGATGATTATCGAAGCAGTTCATCGAACAATTAAGAATGGGCAGTTACTTTAATAGATTAACTTATTGATTCAGGAAATACTTGAATTCTGATCTACGATATTCTACCTAAATATTGAAAGTTAAAATCGATACGTATAGATTTGAGTTGAGTATTGAGCCATTACCTTCACCACCGCTTTAGTAGCGAAGTCGAGCCATCGCCATTGCCGACATACAAAATTAGATAATACAGTTTGAACCTCTGTCGAATGCCTTTGTATATTTTGTTATGTGTATGTTCTCTGTCGCCATTTTCTTCATTTTCCACTTGAAACTGTTTCCGAACTAACGTTAGTGAGATTATATCGTTTGCTTTCTGCTCTTGATATGTGATTTAGTGAAAGAGATATACATATTTTACCAATGCTAAAGTTCTGGACCTTATTTCTATGATTTTTCGAAATAAATTTAGATAAGACGCTAGTTATTTGTTCGACGAATGAGAAGACATGATTTTTTTCATTCTCTTGCTTTGCATCAAAATTTATAAAAACAAATATGATAATACTACGAAGTAAGAGAAAACAAGTGAAATTTTGACATTCTATGTTAACAAAAACACATATTTTGTTCAATAAAGGGTGGGTGTGGGTGTGGGTGTTGTCTTCTCGTCATACATACCCACACCCATCCACACGCTCTACCCACACCCTCACAGCCCGAATATTCAGTCGAGAGTCAAGCGAGTCACCGAGACGAGCGTTACTTGTAATAGTTGTGTAGAGTACACTTTTCTCTGTTAGAATATGTCGCACACATTCAACTTATTTCGAAAAATCTTAACACTGCTTTGAAAGCAGAGAAGTTTATCGTCAATGTGCAAGATGTCGCTTTTCCCAATGTTTCTGCTTATAACTTTGTAACACAAGCACCTAGAAAGCTCTAAAATGTCTAATTTTGAACAAAAAACGGTACTTTTTGATTTAAAGTACATGACAAAGTTAAGCAAACATGTCAAATGCCTACTGTCAAACGGAATTCGAAAGAAGATAATCACAGCTTAGTAATGTGAAAGAGTACTTATTTTTCTTGTTTTGAAAATGTGTAGCACCTTGAGCTTCATCTCATTCTCAATGGAAACAAATTTGTTCAGGAGCACAAACGTGCTCGAACCATAGCTTTACTGAAATCAGAGCTTCTTTTTTGTCGCTGTCAATCGAAAAAATGACAATTCAACCAATCAGATGATCAAAACCAGACAGAAACTGTGAAATAGCCATTATGAAATTCATTACTATGGTAATTCTATTAACAAACGTAAGCATGACTTTAAAAAAAAACATTTGATTGATTGCTTTTCTCTCTAATCCTTACTTTTTATTAGCTGCATTCATGTAGAGTAGTAGCTAATTTTAAATGCTGTCTTCGTTTTTAATAATATCGAAACTTTGAAAATGAAGCCCACAAAAACTTGCTTGTTTGAGTGGAATTCGATACAAAAAACGAATGCTATCAATCCGATCATGAAATTTTATTCCGATATTTGAATGAGTATTTTCTGGCTTTCACTTCTCGAGATCATCACGCCTGAACATGACAACTAGTGACTGGACAATTAATCGCAGGACAATTCGTCGTAGACAGTTTGTCACATGAATAATAATCAAAGAGAACGATTATCGTCACATTAACCATTATTTGAATACGAGAAGAAAAATTAAAATAAATAATATTCACAGAAAAACTGAAAATCGATATTAAAGGTCGGAATGCAGTATTCATGAAAAGTCGTCGTGTCATTTGATCGTCGAGTTTCTTAGAAAAGATTTTCTTTAGTTTTGAGACTATTTTTGAAATTGAGGATGAGAATTGTAGCTCATCGAGTCAAATTTTCTGTCAATGTCTCTAGCCAATTCCACTTTTGTTGAATACGAATCAAACTTCGCAATGAATTTAAATACTTTTTTCAAGCCCAACCTCGGTCCGCTTCTTAAAAAAGTTGATGAAATGCGAATCTGGAGCGAATTTTACCGGCTCTGTTGTAATATTTATAATGATAATTATGTGTAGATATAATCGTAAAGAAGAGTTTTTTTTCCAGTTTTATTGAAAAAAATGAAAGCTATCACTTTGAGTGAAGCGAATAAAAATAAAGAAATAGATTGAATTTGTTCTTTGTATTCACTATTGTCTTCGACATGAATCTGAACCTAATCAACAGGAAATTCTAGGAATAGGTTTCACAGACCCTGTGAGGAAGAAGTTTTAGTGTTTTCCAAGTTTACTTTTGCCGGTGGGATGTAATAAAAAATTTAGTTTCACATCTTATTTATTTTTACGGGACGAACTGTCCGCGCAACTAATTGACCTAGTACTTTCAAATTCATCATTTTGTTAAGTGAGTTAAGAACAAAGGGAGCTTCATGTCGAAGTTTGAAAAAATAGTTGATCAAACAGAAACATAACTTTTTAACAACGTTTGAACGGAAATTGTATGACCCTCTGATCTTTATATCATCGCTACACAAAATAGCAATTCGAGTTACGTGTTGAGAAAATAAAATAGACTCTTCAAATAACTACATGAATGCTGTAATTCGGACTGCATTAATTAATTATTGTTATTGAAAAATAAAATAATAACAAATATGCTGCGTACAATATTTATGATTTTTTTTGTTCTTTTCTTATTCTAATATCATATTCATTCAGTTTTAACTAATGTATCTTTTTCGAAACATCTCTAAACTTATCCTCTTACAACTCGATTTAAAAATCCAATATGTAATTTCAGCAGTTCTTAATTCAACTCAAAGAAGAATTTCATGATATTCTGTTTTTTTATTCATTCGCATATGTCAGAAATCTACTTTCATTGCCCGAAAAAATAATTCTAATAGTTAAGTAGCCAAGTGATATTTAAATAGTTATGAATATTTATAAAACAGTGCTTGAGACTAAATAATCGTTCATCAAAATATTTTCAATTTTGGAGTTCCTCGCTCAAACAAATTAGATAGAATAAATAAGTAACTGAATATTTTATTAAATAGTACTCAGAATTAAATAGTTACTTACTGAGAGAGTTTGAAAATAAACAAAAAGGCTAATTGTTTCTTAAATAGCTATGAATACATAATACATAGCTACGAATATTCATTAATTAATTCAAGAATTAAATAGATATTCATTTAGAGATATAGGCAATCAATAAATTACTGAATCTTAATTAAAATGAAGTCTATCATTACAAAAATCTCGTACAGTCTTCCGATAAATCACATCAACAAATATCATCAATAACTTCTATACAAACAAAATTCATTTGTTTATCTGGTGCAAAGCTTTAGTTAAGAAAGAGAGATGGTAACTGCATTTCCAACCAATATTATATTTATTATAGTGCATAACACTCAAGATAAAGAATCATTTAGATGATAAATATATCGTTGCCTGTTTATTATGAAGAGAAATAAATGTTTGAAACATTATTATTGATGCTCAACGTCGCAAATTCTGATAAATAAAAAGACGTTACATTCCGCACTTTTCTTAAGAGAAACATGTCACTTTCATCTAAATAATAGCCTAGAAAAAAAATAGCAACCGGAACAACATAACTCAGTTACTTTCAAAACTTTGTACTAATAATCATAGATCAGATAGTTTCCGTTCACCAGTTAATTACACTTTTCCGATCACTCGAACTGAAATAATGATCTAAACTGAACTTTCAGAGAATAAAAAAAGAATGAAAATGAAATGAAAATCTGGAAGCATTAAAGAGAATTACAAATAATAATGATAGATGTCGTCAGATGATGAATGTTCGAAATTATTCTAATTTATTTATTTTTCTTTAAAATATCTTGTTTATCATTTAAAAATCTCTAAATTTATACAAATGAGTGAAATACAAATAATTCAAATTCAAACAACTATTTATCACTAATTTCATTGGCTGAGCAGTGACATAATACAGTTGTATCAGTCCATTACTGAAGCGTGTCGTTATCCTATTATTGGTCAGAAGTAAACTTTGTTTATTGAATTTTTTCTAGTATTTTCAGAACATTTTCGAGTAAATAAGTCACTTTTATATTAAACCTATCAAGTATATTTCAGTTCACTTGTGTTAAATAAAGTCATAGAATTGATGATGAAGAAACAAGACAATCATACTTTCTATTCTTTAATGAAATAGAACATGTTGATGATATAGATAAATTTTCTTGTAATCGATCATCATGAATTTCTAATAAGAAAATATAAAATAGTAAAAATTGTTAAATACATTTTTATTTTTTTATCCAAATTGTCACATCATTTTCTTTATGTTTTTTTCTTTTTCTTTTTAATTTATAAAGATAAACTTCAATTACAAAAGAGATACAAGACAAATGATGGACAACATCATTGGATATTTTATTTAAGCAAAAAAGAAATAGTCCTTTTGCTGCTTTATTCTATCGTCCAGTTCGAGAAATCCATAATGGTTTTCCATAAAAACGATATGCACGTGTTCGACGTGATAACCATAATGGACTTAAATGAAAATTTCGAAATATACTACGTTTTAAAATATTATCATCCGTTATTTCTTCGCCATCATCATCTTGTTTAATAACAATAGGCAGACTTTGATAATCAAAACCAACAATATTGGGAGCAGCCAATTCTTTATCATAATCTCCTTGAAGATATGAAGGATTTATCGCATTTAATCGAGGAACAAAAACAGTTACAATTAAAGTAAATGCGAATATTGAACGAAAAATCATCGTAGTACGAAAAACCAATATAAGTTAGTTGTGATAACAATTATGGTTATACCAAATATTGAGAATATTTGGAGAGTTCCGTTTATATTTACTCGTTTAGAGAAAATATCTGAGAGAGAGAGAGAAAGAGAAAAAAAAAGAGAAGTAAGCCAATGAAGAATCGATATGCAAATGAAGCTATTCTTTATTTTCAACTAATATTTTCTTTATACATCTTACATTATAAAAATTAAAAGCAAAAACACTTAACAAATATATCCATCTAACTAATTACACAAGACAAACGTATTTTGAGACTTTTGATTTTGTTACATTTATTATTTGAGAAATATTAAACAAATAATTATCGTATTGTTCAAATACTGTTTATTGAAAAAGTATTAGTAAAGAAAAGAATAGACAAGCTAACGAAACAAGAAATTATTTATTAAGTCCTTAAAAGTGACATGTCTGTTATTATATCTGTTCTAAAAATAATTTCTCATTAAATATATCAAGTATATCCAAGCAAAGAAAATAGAACAATCAGAATAAGAATTGTAACCGGTCTTGTTCGATCGATCTTCACCGATTTTTTCCCGGTTGGAAAATATTTGAAAGATATTCTATTGTTCTCTAATAAAACTTGTTAAGAGCAAGTCTTGCTTGTTCTTATCAAAATAACTAAATAGTGTTGTTTCAGAAACTATTAGTTTTATTTCTTTAAACAGAATACATTTCATTTATTAAAAATCAAAATTGTGTTACATGAGTTAAACTTTTTTTTTTTGGTAAAGATCAAATTTAGGTTCGTCTAAAAATATTCAGTGAGAAAATTCAAGATTTGAAGTTTAAGAGTCACTTGAATAATAATGATTCGATAAACTAATCTAAAAGATTTTTTGAATTGGATCGGATCAGTTCAAACTTTCTCGACCGGTTACAATTCTGATCATAATAAAACCAAATTAGATTTTGTGTACTGAAAAAAGGATGAATATTAAAAGAAAGATCTCATTAAGGCTTCGAATACAATGAAAAGATTAAAATATTTTTCTTTTAGATTTTAATCATTCCGAATGATATTTTCATTTTTCTATTTTCTATTTCTTTTTTTTGTTCACATTCAACAAAATAATTCATTAAATGATGTATCATCTGATGAATATCTTGGTAGTACTGGAAAACATTTATTCTATTTTGTTCATGTAATTATTGTTTGTGTTTTATTTATCAGACAAAAAGATAAATTTTATATTTGAATAAGGTTACTGACATACATATTACTCATTTCGGTCATACTAATCGAACCGAACAATTTGAACAATTTTGTAATCAAATTATCAAATCATTGATAAAACCACAAGTCACTGTTATCTCAGGTGATTATAACTGAAACAACAAAGAACTACTTTACTAATGAGAAAAGAATATTAATAAAAAGTAATCTTATAAATCATATAGGTGATTTAGCACATAATCGTGATCCAGGATTTGCATCTGATCAGTATGAACAAGAATGGATTATATATAAAGATATTTTAAATCGAACTAATGTAACACAATATACAGCATGGCTTGATATGAGAGGAAATCATGGTAAGATTATTTTTGGTTTTTAAATTATTTGAAATATTTTTGTTTTTCTATAATTAATAGATGCTTTTATGGACCCAGATCCACAATCAAACAAAAGTTTTTATCGGTATTGAATTTAGGGTTTTTTTTTCCAAAATTTATCTGATAGATAATTTTTCTTGAAGTATTTATTCTCATCAAGGAGTTTCACATAAAGGTTCATATCAATATACATTAACAACAAATGATAATGATACTTATTCATTTGTTGGTATTGATATGTGTCCAAGACCAGGTGCTGGTCGTCCATTTAATTTTCTTGGTCATATATCGAAAGTATTTTAAAAAAAGAAAATCTTATTAAAATTTTATTGAATTTCTCTTTTTTTCTTTTTTGTTAGGAAGAAATGACAAATATAAAAAATTTATCTGAACAAACTCAAAATTCTAATACAACAATATTTTTTGGTCATTATCCGTTATCATTTACTTATTCAAAAGGACTTGAAAAATTAATGCGTCATGGAATTGTTTATTTAAATGGTCATCTTCATTCCGGTATTAAACATTTATATGCTCGGCATTCTGATGGATTACTTGAACTTGAATTAGGAGATTGGAAAGATAATCGAAGGTAATATTCGACTAACACTCATATTTCTGACAAACACTTGAATGACATCTAAAAATTTATTCAAACAGCTAAATTATGAAAGACTATTAAAGTAGTTTCAATTTTTATTATGTTTCGTCTAATTATGTCAATCTTATAGCTTATTGGATGTTAGTAAGCGTTTGTAAATTCAGTTGTTAAATATAGGAGTATTGGCATCTTTTATTAATACCAGTAAAAAATCTCATTATTATTCTTAAGAAATATTTATTTTCTTCTTTTTTGTTTTTTTGCATAAAGATTTCGTATTGTAACAATTGATTCGGGTATATTATCATTTGAAGACGTTCGTTTTGATCAACCAATTTATACTGTTATATCAAACCCAAAAGCAGCTAAATTTAAAACACCTAGAGAACCACTTTATCGTCTAAGTCAAAGTACACATATTCGGTAAACTAATCATATATATTATTGATTTATAAAATAAAATTTTTCTTGATTAAAGAATTGTTATTTTTTCTAAATGGTCAATTGTTGATGTAAGTGTTTCAATTGATTCAAAATTTATGGGTACTGCATTACAATCAATTGATAATAATAATTTATATGTATTACCATGGAATGCAAGTTTTTATAATGATGGTCATCTTCATACACTATCAATTGAAGTAAAGGATAATCAAAATAATAAAATGACAACTGAAAACGAGTTTTCTCTTACAACCACGACAATAACAGCATTCACTCGATCAAAATTTATTCTATTTATTCATTGGCCAACTTTTGTAATAAAAAAAAAAAATAAAATTTTTTTTCAAAAAAATAATTTTATTTTTTCTAGGGTATTGTTTCTATAATTATGTGTTTATGTGTATATATTATTGTCTTAACATTTTTTCGATATCGAGCAAAACGAATGACACGTAAGTGGGAATAATCAAAATTTTTATTTTGTTTTTCAAATCAGTGTCAGATGCATCTAAGAAAAAAAAGAATTTCATCTATGTTTATACGCAGATTTCCTGAAAAATTAATCATTTAGCAACAAGAGGTGTAAAATATTTTATGATGAGTCTTAAGACCAGTGGCTAGAAGTACTTGAGAATATAAAACAGTTACATATATGTGGTTTTTGGAGACGATTGATTCAAAATAAACACAGTGTTGATTAGGGTCTGACTTGAAACAAAAACGAATATGTTTAATAGACTAAAAAAAAGAGTTAAAATAGAAACGGTACTTTTCGTTGATAAATCACATTATTGAAGAACAAGAATTATCTACATATTTTTGTATCAGTATGATAAAGTTAAACAGAATGCATGTTATCCATCTTCTAGATTTATGGGAAATTGTGTTGATAAGTTTTCTCCTTGGAATATTTGTATATTGAGACAAATATCATAACGTGTGTATGCTACTTAATTTGAAAAAGCTTTCTATTACACATGCAGTGACGGATTTAGAAGGAGAGCACTGGAGATCATCGTCTTTTTTCTTTCGAACTATTTTTTGATGGTTTTCAGCAAAAGATGTCTAAAACTGAGCCAATATGACTTCTAATTTGACTTGAAAATATGTTTTTATGACTATAATTACCCTTATTTACTAAAATCTTAGATCCGCCACTACTTCAGTGATGACTTGTTCTGTAATTCATTCAAATGCCTTTTTGCTTACGAGGGAAGGTCCCCAACTGATCAATCTCTTTTGTGTTGAGACTATGTGCATTATGTAGGTACAAATTAATTATGAATACCCTAAAAAAAGTTCGGACTGCTAGCTTATCGCTACGGAGATATTGCACTTTTACAGTATGCTTTTAAATAAATGCCGTGGTCCCTCTCAGGAAAACCAGAAAAAATGATTTTCGAATTTCGACTTGAAACTTTACATAGAAACAGGTCTTACTGAGAATAGCGTTTTGTGATAGTTTCAGATCTTGTCGATGTTCCTATCCGTAGATACAACTATGGTAACTACATTCAGATAAACCAGAAGCTTTCATGTTCTAATGTCAGAATAGGAACAGCGACAAGATCTGAAACTTTCATAAAACACTATTCTCAGTAAGATCTCTTTCTATGTAAAGTTTCAAGTCGAAATTCGAAAATTATTTTTTCTGGTTTTTCTGAGGGGGACCACCACGACATTCATTTAAAAACTTACGGTAAAGTGCAATATCTCCGTAGCAATATGCTGCCAGTCCGAACTTTTTTCAGGTTATTCATAACTCATTTGTACCTACATAATGCACATAGTCTTAACACAAAAGCGATTGATCAGTTGGGGACCTTCCCTCGTTAGAAGAGTTAATGATACTGGAAACATGCCGTTACTATATATTGATAGCATATCCATTGGTGTCATTGCTGCATGTTTAATACCAAAGAGCAGATCAGCAGGAGTCGTTGATAATCTCATAATGTGTTTTGACTAATGGATGTCAAGCAATAGTAATCTAGAGATAATGATTTTAGCTACAAGGTTTCGATAGAAACATCAAAAGAAAGAAGATTGTGAAAATAAGATTAATAAATAGAGTAAGCTGAAAGAAGTAATAATAATAAACATATGCCGATAAGGATTAATAAGACGATATAATGGAATAAATATTATGATACAGTCAATTTATTTTGTTAATAGAAGAAAAAAACACAATAAACAAATTTTATTTAAACAAATACTATCAGCAAAAAAACAAAACACAAAATATCATTGCGACAAATTATTGGATAAATATAAATACGGAGCAAAAACAGATTTCAAATATTTATATAAAAGTAAATTTATTTGCTATAAATCTCGAAGAGTACAATTAAGGTCTCTTCTCTCCAAAAACAAAAAGGTTTTTCTAAAAACGACATTTTTTGAGATATATATACAGACATGACCCTTGAGTAGAGAGCTGCGGGTCCATGTTTTTTTGGATCCGGACCCGGCAAAAGCTAAATTTTCAGACCCAGACCCGGTCAGGTTTAGATCCGATCTTTTTTTCACCAATATCTAGTACCCTCTGTGTACATGAATAGATAAAGGGACATGGTATTAGCTGTTCATTGCCCACTTTAGAAATAAACTGAATGTAAAGTTCTTGTTGTTCATTTTTTCAATACTAAATTGTCATTAAATTGAAAATTTTCGATTATTGAAAAGGAAACTATGTTAACAAAAAAAGAAATTGAACAATTAATTGATAAAAAAATTTGTCATTGAGAATTGTCAAACCAACAGTAACACCAAAACTTTCGGTCATGTGGAATATTTTTAGTCGTATTTATTATTTTTGGCATTTGAAGTGACTTTTGTTAATTATAGAGATAAAAGGAAACAAGAAGTCTTGAAAAATAAGAAAGAAAGCGATATTCGTTGACTTTAATTGTTGTATATTTCGATTCGGAACCTGATGCAGACCGGGTCTGAAGTTAAACTAGATATAGACCCGGACCCGGTCGGGCCCGGGTCTGGAAGGACCCACAGCTCTCTACCCCTGAGATAACTATAGTTTGAAAATTCATAAGAACGATTTCCAATTTTGAAAAGTTTCTTCAAAAATCATGATAAATTTCTAGACCTCTCTGGCGAGCAGACCAGTACTATATCTACAGGAAAATTATAGACGCTATTGCAGTTATGATCCCTTATCATAGCCTAACGTGTAGCTAGCAGGTCACTTGATAGGTGAGAATCTTGATGAGTTTTTAATTGGTACGTAATATAACTGTATTTGATGCTTATGTAAGAATATTTTTCACGTAAATATACAAAAATAATATTCGTACGTTTTTCTCGACATTGATTTTTGTATAAACTCTTGAATTTCGAATAAATTACTTTTCAATAGTGTTCATTCTAATGATCTGCAAGTTGTTTTCTTTTATACGATAGATAGATGCATTCTCTTTTCGATGAGGACAAGGAATTTTGCAGTCGATCTTCAATATGAAAACAATTATGGGATTTCTAGAAAACATTGTCTACGATTTTTGAAGATTTAAAGTATTAAAGATCCCCAAAATGGATGAAAATTAAAATTGCTAAATTCCTTTCCTTGTCCGAAGCGGTTAGAAGTTCTCTTTCAAATGAGAATAGTTCGAATCCTATAGATTAAAGCCTATTGAAAAATATTTGTATGCATGAAAGCCTTATTTTGTAAAATGGCTGCTGGACACCTCCTAAATGATAATGTTGTTTAGAGCCGTGCAAACGTTCTTAATAGTGTAATTTTATTAGACGAATATCTTTAGAAAATTCCATGCACTGTACCGAACATCGATTTTGGCAGAAGGGAGAAGAGTTTAAAACTAATTATTTGTAAAAATTTTTCTCAGAATAAATTATTATCTTAATTGAATTTCTTATTCAATAATATCTTGAAATTTTCTTTTAAATGAATTTTGTTTTTCCAGAATGCTGTGGTGTTTGTTTTACTCTATGGAATACAATTCGTCTACGAATGGTGCTTTTATGTTCGGTCGATTTATTTTATAATGCATTAGTCGGTTTAGCATTGTATCATTTTATTGGTAAATTGTTTTTTTTTTTTTGTTTATAAAATATTTATTAATTACGATGTTTTTCCTAATTTAAGGTCCATGGTATATTGGATATCTAACAGATGGTTATTTTGGTGCCGTTTTTCTTTGGGGTACAATTATTAGAGGAATATATCTTCCACCTGATATGCAAACATATATGGGAACTATTCAAGTAATTAGATTAACTAACAAAAAAAAAAAAAGCTGTAAAATTTTTCTTTTTTAGTTAATTTTATTTTTGTTTCCATTTACATTATGTTTATGTTCATCATGTTATTATCGTTATATTCAACTTCAATCAAGCATAAATCTTGCTGAATCTAATTGTAATCGTGCAGTCCGAATATTTACTGCTTATGTTCTATTTGTTTATGCAGTTCTATTTGTTTTATTTTGGTCATATGTAACAACAGCATCATATAAGTTAGCATTGATTATGTCACCATTTGGTTTTATATTAGCAATATTTTCATTATTTCTTTATGTTAAATCGAAACGATTAAAAATGGAAGATTTTAAATTTCAATCAACAACAAATGATCAAGATAATTCCATTAGTGAGAATATTATTGAAATTGAGGATCGACAAGCTATTATAACAGGTAGAAGAATTGGAATAAAAGATCATTAAAATTAAATAAATATTCGATTAAAATAGAATCGACCACAGGACAAACCTTTTGATGGGTTGTATAAACACGATCACCGACCTTCATATCATTGCGCCTATTATTTTTGTTTTTTATTGATCTCACTTTCAATTACTCGCGCTTAAAAATGCTTGAATAAATTATTTTTTTCTAATTTTTCAAATGAGCTCTAATGATCAAACGAAACAGTTTAATATACTAATCGACAGAAACAATGATGTATCACAAGACTGCAAATGAATTATTTTGAACATCATTCAGAATGAGCAATAAAGGAAAAATCTGAAAATATCACCATGAATCAACAATCATCAAGAACGATGGCATATAATAAAAAATAATATGATTTTCTTTCGTATTGAATAAACCAATTGATATTGTCTAATATGAATGAAATGTTCAGTTAAGATAAGAGTCTATTATTATTTATTCAGATGCATGATCTACATGGTAACTAGAAAAATGTTGTTGAAAATTATTTGCGAATTAAAATAAATTTTCTTAGAATGTTAAAAATCCATTTATGACTATATAAGTGATGGTTGATCGAAAAGTTATTTGACAAAATTTAAAATTCATTTTTTTGACCACTCAAAGAAGCTTGCAGAAAATCGAAATTCGTATTGTTCTCTAACATAGGTTCTAAATTCTTTATTCTTTTAGAACTTCTAGTTTAGGAGTTGTGAGTCGACCTTTTAAAACACAAAAATTGTGTTTTGATAAAGAAAATTGACTGCTTGTTTTTGCAGCTATTGTCTTATATACTGAATACATTGTATTACTGATTTTTATTAATAGAATTAGAGTGAGACAGTACTCTATAGCATGATATAAGTATTAAAAGAATCACACAATGTCCCTTATCAAAATACACACTGTTTACTAGAACTCATGGAGTCTAAAATTTTCGGATCCGGATACGATTAACAGAGCAATATTAAAGTCAGACCTGACAGGATCCGGAAACAACCCAACGGGATCTACCGTGGAGTTAGCTTCCGCCTCTCTCTACCTTTTTTTTTTGCTGGCTATGTCAGTATGTAGTGGTACAAAGTTTCTCCACACGCTGAATTCATTTGTGTTATAAATATATGAACAATACTAAATGAAGCTAATAAGGTATCACGATAATGTTAATTCTGATAAGACACAAAAGCTCATGCATTTCAGATTTTTCATTTTCAAATAATACATTAACAATTATATAAATCTTAATATCTATATAGTTAAGTATAAAAAGAAATTTTTGATAAATAAAATTAAAAGAAAAATATGTCGATAATTTTTAACATTGAGCCACCACTAACAATAACAATCAGTTCAGATTCTATAGCAAGTTCAATCATGAACAAATAATTTAATCTATTGTTCGCTGCATCAGATAAAGTAAATCTACTATTAATTGATGATATTATCTAATTACCTCAAGTTCATTACTATGGATTAAAAACAAAAAGAAAAATTGATTGATTATCACTTTTCAGTGTGAAAAAGTGTTGATATTAACTGTCTATCAATAGAGACAAATCATTTCTTTTTAATAATTTCTTTCTAAAAATATTTCATATATAAAGTGCATTGCTGATTTTGCTTGTTTATTTCTATATAAATATATTACGAAAATATCACAATAAATAAAACAAAAAAAAAATGAGATTACATGATGAAATGAAAGAGAATCGGAAATGTATATAAAATTTTTTATATATTTTCTTGTTGTAGTTGTTTACATATATTTTTGACTTGTTTTTTTAAATCTTCTTCATGATTAATCTGATAAATTTTAATAATTTTTCCTGATGATTTAATTAAATTAATAATTGTTTGTAAATAAATAATAATTTGTTGATAAATATTATTTGATATAAAAATCAAATCATATTTTTTCCAATCATTATTTATATGAAATGGTTTACCTTGTAAAAATGTTTTAGCTGTTATATTTGCTTTTGATGATTGTAAATCATCAATAAAATAAGCTGATATTATTAATTTTTGTTGTGATTGTTTAGATTCAAATAATGTTAAAAGATCATCACCAAGTATAAACGGATATTGATGATACCAACTTTCAATACGATGTTCTTCATCAGCAATTAATATAAAACGTGGATAAGTTTTAGTCATTGAATATGAAGATTTCATATCAGTAGCACTACGACAACGAGGAGGTTGAGGTTTTAATTTTATTGTTGAAGTTAATTGAAAACTTGATGGAGTTCTATAACGAGTTGATGATGATGTTAATAATTTACGAGGAAAAATATCTTGTTCAATTTTGAATAGAGATGGAGATGGTGTTAATGATATTGGAGGATTATCATAATTAGAAAGATCAGATAGAACTAATTGAGCACGTTTCTTTTCAGAAAAAAGCGCTATGTTGGAATTTGGTCGAGGACGAGTTGATGCTGATGTTGATGTAGGTACTTTTATTTTTTGTTTTGATGATGAATTATTGATTTCAGTAAGAAGAGAAGGATGTATTGGTTTTGATGCAATAATAAATGGTTCGAAAATTAATCGTGGATAAGTTTCTGTTGATCGTTTTGCTATTCGAGGACGAGAAAATGAATTATAAGATGTTGTTATACCTCCTCGATTTAAATCACGAGAAGATAAAGCCGAACCAAATGATGATGATGACATACCTATTTCAATGACAAATTCTTTATAGAAGATCACATATTAGACATTAAAAAAAGTCAAAATAAAAATTGGATTATTTTTTAATTTTTCTTTTTGATAGTAACTTGCATTCCAGTCACTAGTATATATATATAAACAGTCAATTGATAGCTTGGCGAAAAACACACTATAATTCGAGATTTCAAGTTTGTACTTTAGTCTAAAAACAATTTCGTACGAATCATTACAGATTTTCGATGTGACTGTTTCAAACAAAAAATATGGTCGAATATCCTTAAATCAAATTGTTAAGTTAGAATACCATAGTCAAATACCATCGAATCATTATGAAGTCATCCAAGAAGAACGTTCAGGTAATAAGCAAATTTGTTTTTTGACTCCTCCTGGAAGTTCATTATAAAAAAAAAGACTTTCAAAAAGAACACGCTTATTCAAATATATTGTTTTTTTTTGTGGAACTCACATATGTTTTGAAAGAAAATAGTGAGCATAAGTTTTAAGTCGAAGCTTCATGTTACTTTCCACTAAAAACAGGCCTTAGCAATCAGCATTACAAACTTTTTTCACAGAAACGACAGGTATAAAATTAGTGTTGTCACTCATAGTTACACAGGCAAAAATAAGATGTTTGCATAGCAGGCAACATTTAATGAAATTTTAAGATAACAAAAAAGGAAAGATGGTAGAATTAACGTATTAATATGTGCAGTAATAATAGAGAGGCTATGTCTTTTTTCCTTATTGTAGTTAGTGCCTCAGCATCTATCTGTAACTGTTTCAGTTCGGGAGAAGTATCATTATAACCTACGATGCAAAAGTATCCGTACAAATGTCAAAGCCTATTGTGTTCGAACGAAAAGTGCTAGAAACCTAATTTCTTCACTGATGGATAGAGCACAGCTTGTGCTTTAAAACGCATATTGGGATTATAATTAAAGATGTAGTTTATGATATCAAATCTCAAGTTTTTTTCAAACATTGAAATTGGCTTGTTACCAAGGTAAAATTTGGAATTCTTTTATATCTTGGCTACATATATTCGTTTGAATAGTTTGAAATGGGTTACACATTTTGAGCATTCATAGAGCTTTGATTGGAAAAATGCTTTGACTCAAACGGATGTAGCCCTCGTGGGTTATTAACAAGTTTCTAGTTAGGTCGAAATTGACGCCAAGTTCTATTTTGTACGTATTTTATATTGTACCATTTATAAACTCCATGCAGCAACTTTTTATACTATATTTTACATATTGTTGTAGAGCTCGAAGTACTGTATATTTTACATTACTTTGAAAGAATGTTATTCTTGTCCACCGTTAGAACTTTCGTCAAAATCGCAGAATCTACTGACTGTGTTGTTGACACTGATAGTTGGGCACTCTGAATACACAGAAAAACTGGAAACCAATTTTCACAAAGCCTAGAGTTCGCAGATGTCTCTTGCCAAGTTTGAACCCATTATCTTATATTTTAGTCAACATAATGCAAGCTAAAACAAGAAAAAGGACGAAATAATTTACCTTAGTAATAAGTCAATTTCAGTGTTTGGAAAAAACTTGAGATTTGATATCGTAAACTTCATCTTTAATTATAATCCCAATATGCGTTTTAAAGCACAAGATGTGCTCTATCCATCAGTGAAGAAATTAGGCTTCTAGCACTTTCTGTTCGAACACAATAGGCTTTGACATTTGTACGGATACTTTTGCATCGGAGGTTATAATGGTTGTCTACATTTAGTATTTTGTTTTTCACCGTTTGCAATTGATATTATTTGATGTCTTTCTTTTAGAAGAAAAACCAGATTCTTGCCTCGATATCTCATATAGTTAACTTATGTCGTGACATACAATCTCAAGGACGTTTTAAAAAAAAACATTTTCTTAAATTTTATTTTAAACAAGAAACACTTTCTGTTTTTGGATTTAGCATATATTCTTAGAATCTCTATCCATTTTACCTGTATTACTTGGTGATTCTGTACAGGAATATATAAATTTACTGACAAAAAGAGAAACAATTGAACAATTACTTAGAAAAATTCAAAATATTGATGATAGTTTTGATATAATTTTATTCATGTTAATTAGGGAGAATATTTTGAGAAAAAGAAAGTGTTTTAACAATTTTTCAGGTAATCGAAATCAGTTAAATAGATAACATGAATTTGAAATGGATATGAAACAATGCTTTACTCAGTAGTTGATCTTTATTTTGAAGAACTTGAAATTTATTAAAAGATTTGTTTTGGAATAGAAATATAAAATAATTCAATATATATATATAGCTGATCCGATAAAAAGAATATCTGATGATCGTTCACAATAATATGGCACGTCGGTTTCATCTTTGATTTCGAATACAAAAAATTACGTGTTAATATTTTTAATCCTCTACTACCGTCAAGTGTTGTTGAAAAAAAACAATTGAAGTAAATATTCATTTTTTTGTTGGTGATAAATTTTCAGACTGTTTTGGTATCTTTTTAATCAATGATCAACACACTGATTAGACTATGAACAATTGTTGATGAATCTGTAAATGTAGAGAATAAAGTTCAATGTCTAACTTTTTATTGATCTTGATTATTTTGGACTAATAAACGAATACATCAATTAAAATCAGTTCCGAGAGATAGCTTTATCTATTTTCTTGTTGTATGTTTTGCTGCACTCTGTATTTTAGATTCTTATAATCATCTTCGTTCGATTGCTCATATGTGGTTTAACATTGCTCAAGAATTTCAGACACTAGAAAACAGGAAAATTTCAAAATGAACAAATGCTTAACAGTTGTATTAGACATCGTTTACTATATCATCGAAACAATGCCACGAAATTACCAAGAAATGTTGAGGATCAAGTAGAACTTGATGAAGATGGGGATCAATTTTATGGATATTCATCAAATATTTCGTCTTGAAGATTATCTTAAATCATGTGAAGTTTTAAAATTATTTCATTCAAATAAAACTTTTTATAATCTTGTCAATCAAGTAATTTTTTATCTTGCGTTTTCGATGCTATATATTTGAAAAGAATTTAGAAATGTCTCATCAACAAATAACTGTATAAACTAATTTAGCTTCAAGTGAATAAACGACATTATTCTGTCCTAAAATGCAAAGTCAATCACTTTTATCTGATATGAAGCATTTTAAAGTAATTATTAGATATAAATCTTCTCCAGAAATTTTTTTTCGTATTTTAGGCAACAAATCCATCATTCTTCACGTTCATTGATCACTACAATGTTCTTGTCTTCAATTAAATTAAAAGTATCGAATGACAATATGAAATAAGAAAAAAATGATAAATATTCAATGCACATGTAGTTCTACGATAAATGATATTACATTACGAGAACATAGGTCATTCATACTTTTTTTTTTATTTCACATGATGTCTATTATCATCCTCTCAACTAAATATTCTCGTACATTATATTTAGCCAGTCGAATATCAATAAGTGAACCAACATGTTCATCTCAACTCTACCTATTTCAATATTTGATATTATTATCTTATCAACATCAAAAACATTGGTTGTATTAATATTTCAAAATTTCATTGCACTCATGTTAGTAGTTTCATCGGATACAAAACTTCGTCAATCTGATCATCACGATGACTTGAAACAGAAAAGAAGTTTATTGATTTTTTTTGGTTATCAATAATAAAGCACTATTTTTCATTATTATTATTTCTTCTTTTAGGTTGAAAATATCACAAGATTATCTTTCTGTAACATTGACAAGTCTTTATACATTTAAATATTATTCAAATGAATCACTTACTTTAAAAATGTCTTGATTTTCTTTATCTACCATGACACTTACAACCTGATCTTAATTCTGACATTAAAATGTTAGAATTCAANTTGTTGTAGAGCTCGAAGTACTGTATATTTTACATTACTTTGAAAGAATGTTATTCTTGTCCACCGTTAGAACTTTCGTCAAAATCGCAGAATCTACTGACTGTGTTTTTGACACTGATTGCTGGGCACTCTGAATACACAGAAAAACTGGAAACCAATTTTCACAAAGCCTAGAGTTCGCAGATGTCTCTGGCCAAGTTTGAATCCATTATCTTATATTTTAGTCAACATAATGCAAGCTAAAACAAGAAAAAGGACGAAATAATTTACCTTAGTAACAAGTCAATTTCAGTGTTTGGAAAAAACTTGAGATTTGATATCGTAAACTTCATCTTCAATTATAATCCCAATATGCGTTTTAAAGCATAAGCTGTGCTCTATCCATCAGTGAAGAAATTAGGCTTCTAGCACTTTCTGTTCGAACACAATAGGCTTTGACATTTGTACGGATACTTTTGCATCGGAGGTTAGTCATTTATTAGTTCATCTATGTTGACTGTTGTGGTATATTTGTTTTTTTTTTTGTTTATCATATAGTAAAAACAATAATGTTGCTATTAGATGAAAACGAAACTGCTATTCTATATCATAAATTAACCAACATTCTGTTGAGTTAGATACATTAAAGATTCCACAATAATTTAATCATATCAAAAATCATTTGAAACAAAAATCATTTTGATATTTTAATAGGAATGTTGATCGTTATTCATAAGCAAATAAATCTTCCATTGTGTAAACCTTTGATTGATTTAATTCACTTGTTCCAAACATTAAAATATTTTTTATCACATGAAAAAATTGTATAAAATTATGTGTGAGCTTATATGAAATATTTGACTTCCACCTTTCATCCTCAAATAAAGCCTATCGGGTCCAGGTTCGGAACTAGTACAATAGGCTCTAGTCCCAAAGGAGCGGCACCAATTAGCTTCTTTTTTTTTATAAAGTAACAGTTCATTAAATAAATATAATAAAAAAACAAATGAATATAAAAGAGACAAACCTTACTTTTCATAAATAACAAACGAAAATATAACTTATTGCAAATTTTTTGTTTTTTAAATGCATCCGATTTTAATGAGTAAAAAATAGTACAAATGAACAATGAAGTTCAATACAAATAACATTCAACAAAATAACAGTATGTATATTGCTGCTTCAGAAAATAATTATCTCTTCATCTACTATAAGCATAAATTATTTTAAGATCATATTCATATTCAACTGATTCACATTCAGTTCATTTCCTATTTAAAAACGTCCTTCAAAACAAACTAATGTTCAAAATTTCGTCCAAAGTTGTATGAAAAAAAGTACCTATAGCAGGCGATTGAACGTTCAGAAATGTTTGGTAGCCTTCCTCTTTATCTTGACGTTTTTTACGAATGACTCCTATGTGTTTCAATCGAATATGTAACTGTTATTGATAATAAGGAAAATATTTTATTGTAATTAGATGCGAGAAAACTAGTTTCAATTTTGATCTCAGTTTTAGTTCGAGTTCTTATCCGAGCACAATCGTGATCCAAGTTAAAACAATTTATCTTATTCATATTTATTTGAGCAATTAACACGGATGATATTAATGACTCAATAGATCAAATAAAAAAGAAAACAAATGGTTGGTCTCCTTTATCTTAACTTACATTACACAATTAGTTAAAATTTTTCATGTTGTAATGACTAAACAATACTTGCTATCCTTAACAATAAAAAAACTAAATATAATCAAAAATATTCTTTGAAGTAATTGAATATAAATTTAAATATGAATAACAAAAAAAATTTATACCTGATTCTGATTTTAACATAGCTACTTTTTTATCTTCTTGTTCTTGAGCAATAATTTGTTTAAGTGCTGCAAATGAATGTCCATCACAATTAAAAATTGATGTAGTTGGATCAACAAGAATTTCTTGTGTTGTAGCGAGACTTTTAAGTTCTGCTAATGATCGTCTTAATTGAAACCATGTTTCTGTATCTGCATATTTTTCAGCTAATGTTTGTGCTTGTTGTTTTTTTCGTTTTCTTTCATGTGCTATTTTTCGTTTTTCATGATATTGTTTTGGAAAATTTTGAAATGATCGTTCTTCTTTACCTTTTGATATTGGAATTGTTAAAGCAGTTGATTTCATTCGTACAGGTATTGAACGATAATGACGTGAACCCATTGATGTTGGTGTTGAACGATCTAATGTTGCACTATGATCAGGTGTTAAATTTGTTTGATCAATAGGTGGAGGTGAATTTTGTCTTGCTGTTGTTGGAATACGTACATGATGTTGAATAATTCGTTTTGTTGTTGATAGTTCAGATTTTTGAAATTGATTTCGATTATCAATACCTAATTGAAACATATTATTAACAGGATCTTTTGATAGTGAACTTGATTGTGGTCGAGATGTTGTTGATGGCCAACGTGGAAATTGATAATTAGGTACAATAGATGGATCTTCCGCATGACTCATTATTATTTTTAATCTAAAACATAATTTTATTATAATAAGCACAAATAATCACAACGAAAAGAAGTTAAATATGTTAGACGCAACTAAAGGAATTTATTAGTTTATATTTAAACATATAATTAATCATCATCATCAGCATCATCACTATTTGCTTTAGTAATACATTTCCATATAAAGATACTGTAAAAAACCAAAAAATAGAAGTTTCTTTTTTTTTAAATAAAATAAAATAAGCTTACCAACAATCATCTCCACCTAAACTAACTAAATATCTTTCATTAGAAAGAAATCGAACATTTGTTACGTTATCTGAATGACCATAAAATGTTTTATGTTCCGCCTAGAAATTATTATTGATTAAAACAACAAAGTATTATGAAAACAAAAATTCCTTACTCCAGGTTCTGGACATGGAAACTTAAACAAATTAACAGCCCCATTGTCGTCACCAGTAACAATTGTTGATGATACAGCATGAGCACAATTAATATGATCTTTTTTTACATCTTTTGGCCAAATACCATTTACATCATCTCCAATCGTACTAGACAAAAGTAAAAACGAATTATTTTTATGGAACACAAGTTATATAATTCGAAGAAAACTATAGTGTATGTAAGTTTTAAATCGGGGCTTTATAGCTTCATCNTTTGAAAGCAATAAAAGCATTTCGAATCAACTTTTTTTCCTTTAGTAAAAACACTCTTTGATTATGTTTCAGTGATACAGAAGATCATTCTCTCTAGTCATAATAATCAATATTACGGTTGGTAATTTACCAGTTACTCAGTAATGGGTAACGAAGAATTCATAAATTAATTAAGAAAAGGTTGTTTTTCACAATAAATGATATCTTATAAAGTTTGATTAAAGATTTTTGAAGCCAATGAATGCAAATCTGTATTAGACCCTTCAATAGCATTTCCTTTACCGACAAGTCAAGTACACAGTTGTGAGGAATTGATTACCGATTTGGATTCTTCAACCTCGAAAGTCCTTGACCAATTTTTATAGAAAAATTGTGATTTTCTTTCAATAGCTATGTTCTGATGAAAGAATCAAATCTACAAATTTTCCATTAACCCATTACTTGCTAATTTACATAACGGTAATTTTCCTCCCCTACGCCGGTGACTAGAATCATGGAGTCATCGTATCAATTGCTTCGCTTTTGATTACAATGCACGGTGTTATTCTTACTTTTCTTATCAAGTTTAGCAATTGAAAGTCAAAAATACGAACACTTATCCAGTTATGATTCAGATTGAAATCTTATCTCTATTTGACCAAGTCAAGCAAAGTAAGTTTACTGCATCAAAAAATTAAAGTAGAATATTTTAGTTGAAAATGTTTTTCCAATTTCTCATTTTTCAACATCAGCATTTTGCCGTCAAATAAGCAGAAAAAGAAAGTTTTAAAAAATTGCTGATTTTTATCAATAAATAAAAAAAAATGTTGTTTTTCCAACTTTACCACACTTTGCTTTCCCTATTTTATCAAAGTGAAATAAAGATCAAGTGCCAATCCTAGTTATAGTACTTTCTTTTGTTATAATAGCTTTGATTTTATGTAACCACTTAAATAGACATTTCTTTTAATCAAATATCCTATTTTCTCATTGATTTCATAATCATAATTCATAAACTATCCATGTATTTAATAATGCAATTCAAGAACGGATCGTTGAGATACTAATGTGTGATTCAAATTTTTACTAACTTCAATCAACTGCTTAACCAAGTATGAAATATAATATTTGTCGCAACAAGACCTGGATATTTCTTTACTCATTTTCAAAATTAAGTGAAATAATTGCCAACTTTTCTCTTTAAACTTATTTATATCTTTTATTTAAAAAATCTAAATGTTAGAGAAAATTATTTTCGGTCGTGTGAAACGGTACGTTTTTCTAATTTTGTGGTAACATTGAATGGAGAAGACTAAAAATGCATTATCCATAGTTCTGCTCATTATTTGATTTTCTACAGTTTGTTTATATATTGAGAGAAATCTCATTAAATTTTATCTTTTCCTTTTATTAAGTTTTTTTTATTAAGTTTTTGTAATAAAAATCTAATTCTACAAAATAAAATATCTACATTTCTGCATTGAAAATTTCATTAGAAACTTAATTTCGTTAAAGTCTATCGTTTAAATCACACAATTATACCAAGAGTTTGATTTATTTTTAAAATAGAATGTACAAATGTTTAAGTATTCAAATAAATTACTTTTTTTGTTCAAATTATAAATTGATAAAAAGCCCATAATTAGAAAAAATCAACGATAGACAAAGAAAAACAAACATTGAAAATCAAAACTAATTTAATATTGTACAATGAATAAAAATTGTGTTTTGTTTCATATTAATTGTAGCGAATATAAATGCCTACTCTCATCATTTTACACTATACATCAAAAAACAAGCATAGGCGGTCTACTCTTTGTTGTTTGAATTGTTGTCAACATATACATATCTATACTAATTGATGTGTATAGAACGACAAATGAGATGAAGCTTGTCGTGTTGATATGTATAGAATGAGCAAAGCTGACAAGGCGGCAGAAAGAGTCAGCCATATAATGTTCACTACACATAAGTGTCGAATGTAATCATCATCACTATATACAAAACAGACAAGGACAAAAAGTCACTTCATATTTAGATCGTATTGATGAGATGACTTGTGTGAATTGAATCACATCGTATCTTACATGCGTGTAATCGGTTTGGACAGCAATGTATGCATGCCTACATGCTTACATTCTAATTGAGGTTGCTGGCCTGTATCCTAATGTATTTGTCAGCATCAATTAGAACGAGAGCATGTCGTTGTCATCGAAAAGAACAAACACACAGATGGAGTGACAACAATCATTTAGCAAGATAGATATCGAACATTGTCGTCAACGTCAATGTATATACTTGCTTGTCATAAAACATAGCGGAAAAGAAATATGAGTGAAATGAAGTGTCAAATGACTAGAAAAAAGAGAAAAATAGATATATATCAAAATGACTTTCATTAGGAAAATAGACTGCGTGAATTAAATCTTCGTCATCTGTTTAATATTATACTATTTGAAAGAAATTTTCTTTTTATAGACATAAAATCACGATAATGTTGACAGTTATGATAAGTATTTGATAATAAGTTGAGAAATCAAATCCGATTTCTATTTCTATTGTTCCTTTTTTTTGTTGTCAATGTTTTTGGGATATATTTCTTTTTCTTATTGGATTTTTTTGTTTTCTTCATTTAAAGATGAATATATGTATCTGCACACACACATACATTCGACTCCTTCATTTATCATTATCTCATTTACATCTCTTTTGTTCTTTTCGTTTGCTTGTCTTCTCGCGCTTGTCGAGATAGGTCATGTTTCGCATCATCATCATCATCGCCATCGTTCGTCGATAAATCATTCTTCTGCTGCCTGACTGCTTTCTGCTTGTCAGAATATTGTTATTACGACATACACAGAACGATTGATGATAAATGATGAGAGCTCGGCTCGTTTGTACTAACATGATGTGGAGTCTCATATGCTATGCGATCGATCAAGATCATTATTCGTGTGGGTGAGTGACAAATGAGAGACCGATGATGATGATCATGCGCACGTCGAGACGATCGATATACAGACATATATGTATTTTTATGTGCATGTTTTATGTCATCAGCTAGTCGAGCGATCATCATTATCAGTCGGTCAGCCAATTGTGATGACAAGTCGACAGAAAAGTTCGTTTCTTCTGTCACAATTGTCGACATTCATCATTAAAATGGACAAAATTACTATGAAAGATTTGTTCTAATAATATGGACAATATAATCATTTTCGATAGAATCAAATATTGTTTCTGTATAATGATATAAAAAATTTATTTAGTTAAGAATCTTATACTACAAAAAAATATATTAGATATATCAAAATGTTTATTCTTGTAAATAGTAACGCAAAAAAAAAGTATTAATATAGTTTTTTTTTTGTTTTTTATTTCATTATAAAAGATAATATTCATTTTCTATGATTTATATGTTATTGAAATTACATTTTTTCTAAGATATTTATCACAACTATTTTTTTATTTAGCATATTTAATAATGAGATCGATTGAAAAGATAATTTTCTAAAGTATTCTATCTCTTTTCATTACCACCTCCTGTCATTTTTTCAATTCAAAAAACATATGTGATCAATGATTAATGTTTATTTTAAAAAATGATCTATTAATCAAATTACATATCTCTTTCAATTCATTTATATTTGACATTTAATGAACTTTATTTGTACAAAAAAAAAGAAGAAGAAGAAGAAGATACATTGACATCAATCGCATATAGAGACGTGAGAGCGCCTTCGTTTATCATTTCTCTTCGTTTATACACTTTTATCTATTTGAACCGATTGACAGTTGATCGATGCCTATAGTTCTATGATTGTATGAAAGAAACATAAAAAACAAACGAACATAGGAGAAAATGCGGCTAGCTACATTATCATCAGAAAAGACTAAAGAGACATAGAGAGAAAGAATAGATGGAATCTTTCTTCGTTCTTGTCATCACTCATCTTTTCCTTTTCTCTTCTTACTTGCTCTATAATTGGCATGTGTCAAGCAGCGGTGTATGTATACTCGCTCGGAGGTCTCAAGCATGATCATCATTTATCACACACACAAATCTCTTCTCTTTTCGTACGCTTGACAGTCGGATAGAGAAAAATGAGAACATAAGAAAGAGAAGAAAAAAAAATGAGAGAAAGAGAGAGGGAGAGAGAGAGAGAGAGGAGAAGTCAGGAAAAGCTTTCATTCATTTATTCATTGACTTTCTAGATAAAGATTACAAATAATAATAACAAGCGATCATCATTATAATTATTATTATTATTAACAATAAAAAAAAAAACGAACATGTCTTCCACAACAGCTACTAATACTTATTTAAAACCGGATTATTTACAACCACTTAATAGCACATCTTTCTCATCTTCATCAACTTCGGTATGTACTTTAGAAAATTATTATCATTTAAATAAATAAATTAAAATTCTTATCTTTCAATTTTTGATATCATAGTATGATTCAAGTCAAAGTCCATTAGCTTTACTTGCTCAAACATGTTCAAGCATTGGTAAAGATTCACCGTCACCTCCTTCATCATCATCTTCATGTTTATCTTTAAATACCTCATTGCTACCTAATACAGCTCCGCCTATTATCACATCTCTCGTAGCTAAACCTTCATCAACATCTAATAATGAAAAACCTTTTTTAACATCTAAACGTTCATCACCATCACAATCAAATACTACAATTATGAATAAAAAGTCAACTGTTCCAGTGAAACCCAGTACTATTATACCATCATCGTCTTTCATTGAATCAAATCCATTATCATCTCATTTACCACCACTATTTGATCCAACAACAACTGCTGCTGCGCTTCTTCTTCGTTCTTCACTTGCTTATCTAGCTGCTCAACAACAACAACAACAACAACAACAGCAACAGCAATACCATTCATTTTCAACGCCATGTACAGTTCCAGGTTGTTTACAATGTGAAACAGTTCGACATATTCTTGCTGCATCAGTTCATACACAACCATATGTTTGTCATTGGTTTTCATGTAATGCAAGATTTTCATCAGCTGATGAACTTATTGAACATTTACGACATAATCATACATCAACAGGAAAATCAACTTCTATGCATCAACATCATAATCATCATCGTTTTCATCCATATTTAAAGCCACCATTGATGTTAAATAACAATGATCAGTTACCATTCTTTTATCCTCACTTGTCTTTGTCACCGATGACAGGAACAACACGACGTACGAACAATAATACAAACAACAATAATTAATCTTCATCTCTTTTTTTTGTTTCTTCTTCTTCTTTATCTTGAAGGCAAGGTCATATCCATCATGTGATTTTTACTATGTAGATTAAATAACAGATGGAATAATACCTTTCGCCTGATGTCTATGTCTATGTGTTTCGTCACTAATTACAGAAATTAACGCGTGTCTTATTGTGCAGTCATTCACACACTTTGACATTTGTATAAACATACAACAATGATTGACACAACGAGCGTTGATAGTATGTCTGTCATCATATTTATGATCAGAAAATCAAGCCATTCATTCATTCATTTCTTTTCTTTTTGTTTTGTTGATCTTAGAAAACTGTATATGTATTCGAGTTTATTTGTTGATACAACAACACTCTATCTTTTGATCTTAATTCTTTATACCATCAATCTATAAGATATTTTTTTTTTTCGTATCAAGGTTATCACATGTGCTTAACAGATGATTAGATAAATAGAAAAATGAGATGATCCTTCTTTTGTGTTTTATTTCTATGAAAAATTTGCATATATTTAATATTGAAAAATTTTTATAGAATAGTTCTGTTAATTATCGAGAAAATGTTTTGCGTGATATGATTAACTTAAAATTCTCTTGTTATTTTTGTGTTTTTTGACAAGAATAGTTCTGTTTGACATTGATTCAATATGAAAGCTTGATAGATAAAGTTAACACATCAATGATTTATTTTAATTATTTAATGGATGTCCATGTTCAATTTGAAATTATTTTCTATTATAAATTTATCTTATATTAGATAATGAAAATAGTTAATTATATTTATTAAAAAAAAAAAAGAAGTTCAGCCAGTCAATCCATTGAACTATATCAGTGATTGTAACATCTTTCCTATCGGCCTTTTAGTTTGTTTCTAAAGATTAGTTCAAAGAAAAGGTTAATGTTTATACTTGGAACAATCATTAGTCAATTGAGGTTAGTTTGACATTTATAAAGCAAAAAGTTTGTAGATACTCATGGTGAAATTTTGTATAGATGTTTTAAGAAATTAAAAATAAGTTAATAGTGTGAACTGTTAATGTTGCTAAATTAAATGAGATCGAATGAAGTATATGTTAGATATTGATAAACATTGGTTAAAATGTAAATTATTGAAAAATGAGAAAAAGTCAACTATATTTGGATTTAAAAAAAAAAACAATAATATCTTCATAAAGGAACTTATTTCATGAAAAAAAAATCATTTAGACTATTTATTGGATTTACTTTAGACTGAAAAATAAGAAGGAGATATTTGCTTTATAAAGTTTGTGAAGAATACAAAAGAAACTTTCATTGTCTATGAAATGAAAATAACTGGAATAAAGTATTAAACTTTTCTATGTATGACTACAGGAACAGAAAAAAATATACTGTGAAGAATTGTGATAGAAAAAAAGTGAAAAACAAAAAAAAAACTATATTTTAGCTACTACTTGTGAATAGTAATAGAGGAATTTTATTTAATTTTTGTTTAAAAAATATTTCATTAGATCTTATTTTATTGGGAATAAAAATATATAGACATCAGGACTTGAAATGGGCCGATGGTTTGATCGAGAGAGATTTTCCATGAAAAAATAATCAATTTTATTTTGTTTTTTTGTTGTTGAAATTTCTTACATAGGTTTTAAAACTTGCAACTGATAACAATCAGGAATCTTTATTATGCGAACGTTTTGGAAGTTTCATTCAACAAATACATACAATCAGAGTATTTGTTCGATTCAATATAATTTATTATCTATCACACAAGATTGAATACATTATCAACTACATTAAACGGAATGGATTTTATTGAAATGTAAAAGTGTAACACAAAATAGTAACTGATTTGACTGTCTGAAATTAATCAGCGGATATTTTACTCATAAAAGCTACTGTTACTAAATAATAGTCTTGAAGAAATTGCAATACCCACGAATGCATCTTGATCTTTCGCATCAATAAGTAACTCGACTTATCTCTCATACTATTTTTTCAAGCATTTAAATTGTCCGACTTTCTTTAACTTACGATCAGTATGATAATAGATTTTTTACAATACTCTAATAAATGGCTGCACGGATTGTGGAGTTTCATCATTTTTGTAAAACGCATACAATTTTAATAATGTCAATCTAAGTCGAGCTGGGTCATCAAAAAGTGGTCCAATTTCGAGTCCTGATAGATATGAAAACAAAAATCAAACTAATTAGTACATAGTTCTAATTCTAGATGACATCTTAACGCGGGATAAATGAAAACATGCAAATTGAATTCAAGTGAAAACTATTTCCATCAATAGAACAATTTAAAACTTACAACAGCTCATGAGACACTATGTTAGTGTTTTCAAAACTTATGAGGAAATCTCCTCAGTTGTTCTATTCAGATTTCAATGATTTTTTGCGTATAGATATTACCAAGGTTTTTAAACAAATTCGGAAATCGTTTGGGTTCTTATTGAGATTTGATTCAGCTACCAAATTTTTAATTCATCTAGTTTCTAGAGCCCCATGTTTTTGGATAGTTCGTATTTTCGAATTTTGATTTGAAACTTTGTGCATGTAGAGTATCTAACTAGGCTAGCTGTCATAACAAAATTCAGAAGTTTTGAAAAAAGTTTCTTTGTGATATGAAACTTTTATGATGTACACCCTTTTCTTTGGATAGGATATACAACATATATTTTTTGAAGGCTTTATATTTTGAAGAGGCGTTGTTCAAAATTTGTGAACTTTTTTATGGAAGCTAGCCTAATTTGATATTCTACATGCACAAAGCTTCCGATCAAAATTTGAAAATACAAACTTTCCGAAAAAATGGAACCTCTAGAAAATAGACAAATTAAATATTCGATAGTTGAGTCAAATCTCAATAGCAATCCAAACAATTTTAGGGATTTTATTAGAAAACTGCGTAGTATCTATGGACAAGAAGTAATCAAATCAGAAGGAAACATTTTGTAGAGACTCCATCGTCAATCTGCAATGTTAATTTAACAGGTTTATCTTCATTCCTCAAAGTACTGAAACATTTATGTTAATTGGCTTCATTTTTTTTGTTGTTCATCATTAGCTAGCTATGAGCACGTTAGAGACTAAGAAAAACATTATTACTAAGCATGTACAAAGATCGAGTCTTTCGATCTTGACATATGTCTAACTATTCACGATTAAATAATAAAATAGATACTAGAATCTACTCATATGAATAAAAAAATGTTTTTGCTGTTCAAAAGTTTATTCATGATGATGTGATCATTCTACTATATTGGTGAAATGAAACGTGCTTGAGACGAATTCGTATGAATAAGCCATACTTGATTTTCATATTCATAATAGATAGCATATTGAGTATCATTCATATTAGCAATAAACGAAAATTGTTGAGTTGAATAAACAGTTGATATGGTACCTCGTTGAAATGATGCCTTTAAATTGCCTTGTATTGTTCGATTTTCATTTGTACCAGACAATTGTAAAATTAGATGACCATAAACTCTTGATGGATTTAAGTCATTAATATAAACATTAATTTCATTAGTAGTACCAGTCGAGTCTATTATGATTCGAGAATTACAACCATAAAAGAATGATGTATCAATATTTGAAGGATAATTATGTGAAATCATACGTTCTAAACTATAACGTGCATTTTCATCTTGATATATAATTGTAATATTTTCTTGTTGAAGTTGATCAAAATTTAATTGTGATTTAATAAGAAATTCCTGTTGTGAACTATATTTACCACGTTCTATACGTAAATCAGAAAATACACCTTGAAAATCAAATTTTCTTACAACATTTAGACTATAATCGAATTCGGTTTGAGAACTTGCCATATTACCTAAACTAACTTTCCATTGAATATCTTCAATAGAAAGTATAGCTGCTAAATCAATACGAAAAATAATTGGTACTGGACACATAGGTTGATTACCGTATCGATTTGATAGATTTGGTAAACCAAGATTTTCATTATAGTATTGTGTTGGTGTCAATGGTCGAAAATAAAAACGTGCATAATCTTTAATTTCATAGCGAGTTGTCTGAATTATATTTTTAGCAGCAGAATCTTTGAAATCATTAGAAGATAAATTATTTCGACATTTAATAGCATTGTCTCGAAGAATGGAAACTACATTTTCCAAATGTGTGTAATGATATACATAGCCAGAAAATGGAGAATGTTGTGCATTAAGTGCTTTGGTAAGAAGTTCAGCTGAAGTCGTTGTATCGGTAATTTCTAGATGATTGAAAAGTTGTTTGTTATCACGATCAATAATCATGGCGAATTTTCCACGAGTTCCATTGATATCTTTAAAATCTATTGAAGAATCTGGTAAAATATGCATTGTTGAAGGAATAGTTTTTTCATCAAGTAAAAATTGACGAATATCTGATTCGATATTCGATGGTAGTTTGAATTGTTTGCAAAGAATTTGAGGTAATTTTGACATAACTTCATTTGAATTCCAAGGTCGTGTAACATACAGTCGATGATCAATAACATGAATATGTATTTGTAGAACAGGAATTTTTTCTTTATAATATAATACCAATTGATCGACTTCGAATATTTCTAGATCATAGTCAATACAATGATTCGTAATATTTCGAGATTGAATTAATTGAAATAGATATGCTTGCATATCACGTAATTTTGCTCGTAAGAAAAGTGAAGGTTGTACACTAATGTTAGAAGGTAATGCTAAATCATTGATTTTAATTTGTTGTATATTAAAAAAATCAAGAAGATATGTTAAATTATAATCATGTGAATTTCCTGTACTTAATTTAAGTTGAGGAATTTGATTAGGCAAAATAAAATCTTTGTTTAAAGAAATGACAAGATTTGTAGAAGGAAGAAATTCATTATTTATTGTACTAAGTAAATACAAAGGTCCTTTTGGTCGACATTGATCAATATATTTTCTATCAATATTTGAAAGACATTTGATCATACTAGTATAAACACGTTGGATATATGTTTCATTTTCGTCGTTAAGAATAATATTCTTTGAACGATCATACAATAAATTTAATAATTGAATATAATCTTGAATAGAAAATTCAGTTTTAAATTGAAAGAAACGTTGCCAATCAGTAGGAAATGGTATCGAAGTAGCGCAAGCAAAAACAGGCAATAAATCTCCAGCAATCAGTTTTAAATCACTTGAGAAAACATCTGTGCTTTTTAATAATTGTTTCGTCGTAGTTGGAATACATATTCGTGCTCGAACAAACCAATACGGTAAATTATCAATTTTACGAATTTGTTGTTGATTACAAATGAGTGTTTCTCTTTCATTTAGTAGGTTGATATTAATTGAATATATAACATGTTGCCAAAAGTAAAGAGCAAAATCGTAATTTATTTGAGTAACATCAAGAAATCGAAGAATAAGACAATGTTGAAATTGTAATGAATTGTATTGAGAAAAGATTTTCTGTTTGTTTAAATCGATAGGCTGAGACGATTTCATTATGTTGATCTTCATTAAATCGAATCAATTTAATGTCTTCTTGTACACCCAATAAAAGAAAAAATTGTTTTAGCTTATTTGTAATACCTTTAATTTCATTTAAATAAATTGGAGACAAAAATTTTGCTTCATCTAGATGAAAATTATGTAAAGAAAGACGAGGTAAATATGAATCAGAAAAATATAATTCATCAGCAGGTACTAAAGTTTGTTCAAGAGAAAATAATTTCAATTTATTCAATTTTTGTAAAAGATTATCATGTATTTCACCACGTTGAAAACTATTAAATAATTTCTTTACAGTAGGTAAAGCATTTTCTAATGTTATATAATTACGAACATTTGGTAGGATTTTTCGATTTATAAATATTTCATCTGTTTTCTCCATTACACCTAATGATTTAAGCCATTGAAAGACTAAAGACTCAGTCTGTAGCCATAATATTATATTTTCATGTACATATGGATCAGTATCATTTGTTTCTACCCAATCTGCATTACTAAATTGTGATGGTATATAAATTTCGTTTGTCATTCGAAGTATTCCCATACGATCCATAAGAAATGGTAATTTTCTTAACCGAGCTTCAATTTGTTGTTGATGTTGATTATTATATAGATAGACAATAAATTGAATGTCTTGTTCAGGTGTAAAACTTATTTGAAAATCATTGGAATTCAACATGTCTATGCAGTTGTTCCAGTCAAAGACAAGAATATTAAATTTACGAATTCGTTTACTATTACGAATAAAAGGTTGACATGCAATATGAGATGTTGGAGAAATAGTACGTAAAATAAAATCACGAATTAATTTATTTCCGATACAATTTTGATTTGAAAAATCTGTTGTATCAATGACAGCTTCGCTGGGTTTTAATAATTCCTTGGAAGAATTTACTATAAAAGGTACTTCTGTTGCTGCATTTGAACAATTGTCATTATATTTTTTAGCCAGATTATCGTTAACAGAAATAGGATTCGGTAAAAGATCAAGAGCTTTATCACTCCATTTATTTTGTTTCATTAGTTTTCCTATCCATTTAATCATTTCATGTGGAATACGAGAAAAAAGAAATTGATTCCATACTGAATCTGTATGTATATGTTCTCGACTAGCATTAGTTAAGAAATTGGCATTGACTAATATAGGTAAATTATAGGTTATTATTTTCGTTGGAAGATAAGCAAATAATGCATTGTTACGACCTTGAACGCTTTCAATATTATCGTTTTTATCAATTTTTGCAGCAAGAATAATTTCTGTTTGTTTTGCATCTTGAAGTTTTTCTGGTAAACGAAAATCATGTCGTGCATTATCAGGAACATCTATCTTACATGTACATAATAACCAATGTGATATAAATTTCCAATCATATACAACTCTTACAGAACCATCTCGAAGAATAGTTATGTTTAAACTTGTTTCATTTGAAGAATTAAAAGAAAATTTAACAGTTCTGATATTTCGAAGAAACATGAATACATGAGGTTGATCTGTTAATTGTTTGATAGCATTTTGTGTTTCTTCGATGTTTTTCAAACGAATTATAGTTACTACAGCATCAATTTGTCCTAAAAGCCATTTTTGAATCGATTCAGGTACTTCATTTTTTTCAGTCCAAATAGGACATATTTGCCAAGGAAATTCAAATGTTTTATTATTCATTTGTTCCCATGTCATTTGATTAGTTCCCCATTTTGGATTCCAATTAAATACTTTAGAGTTAGCTTCAAATCGAAAATATTCGCCTTTGGATGCAATTAGTACATAATCAGATTTTCCAAAAACAGCCTTAAATCCTAAACCCTTATAACCTGTTTTTTGCACATCTTGTCTTTTTGTACTACATCCAATATTGCATAGACTTTCTACATCTTCCGTGTCAAATGGTTTTCCATTATGTCCAACGATTAAATAACAATGATCCAAAATGGCGATGCGTACTATAGATTTCGGTTGACAAGCATCATCACAGTTTTGCACAAGTTCATAAACAAAACGAAGTGGATCTGTGTATAAATCATTGGATAAAGATTTGAGTGATCGAGCTTGATTGAGTACTTGTTGTGTGAACACATAATTAGTATTATTATAAAAGATTTGATTGATTGTCCCTTTCAAACTCATCATTAATGTTTTATTTGTCTATTTGCACAAGCTAACATGTTCTTTTTTTTTTCGTTCGATCACTTCTCCTTTGAGAGTCCTTTATATTTTGTTACCACACTTTATATTTTCCTTATAAATTCGGATATTATTGTTGCAAAAATAAACGAATAACAGAAGTCTACATCAAATAAAGTATATGATTTAGTATATTGAATATGAAAAACAAACAATAAGTAAAATGTAATTCACAATTGTGTGTTCTAATGCATTTGGACTTAATTATCAAGACTTACAATTAAAAATTCAAAGCAGCAAAACCGTAAAAATGAAATTTATGAAGAAATAAAAGAGCACCTTAAGTTTTTTTTCATCATGTATATGTTAGCTTCCAATCTTAGACTGGGGTTAGGCCAACGGCGGATTCAAAGGTTGATACGGATATTCTTGAATTAGAGACTAAGTTCAGTCAAAGAAAATTGTTACGAAATTCTTAAAAAAGGTTCTTTGTGCTGATGCAAACTCAGAATCTTTTTTGGTTTCATACCAAAGTCAAAAGAGTTTCGTACAAAAAATAGAAAATCTTGTGAAGGATCTGTTCAATGAAGAAGATTTTTCGCTTTTTGTATGAAACTTTTATGAGCTAGATACAAAATCAAAAATGGTTTCGAGTTTGTATCCACAGGAAGAATCTTTATAAATTCCGTAAAAGAACAATTTTTTTAGTTTATACCACATTCTATGTAGAGATATTGATTCAGTTCAAAGAATATATTAAATAAAAACTGGAATAGAAAAGATGTGGATGAAATTGAATTACTGTCTATGCTAAAATAATCTTCGAAAGAGTAGAAAAGTTAATTTATATCTCAGTGGTTCATGTAGAATAAAAAGAACAAATATATCCATGCTCACCGCTTTCGTTGATATTATTTCTGTTATTTGCTTATGATTAGATAGTATGTTTTGCTAAATATAAAATTTCATTTACGATGTTTTATTTTTACTTTAATGTAATTTGCTAGTCGATTTAAGATTAACCATAGTAACCTTTCAATCGACCATTCGTTTACACAAAATTGTGACTCGTCTAAAATTTTCGGGCAAATCTTAGATTGAACGTATTGTAGTAGCTAATCAATCCGAGAATTGTCTGAAGTAATTTTTATCCAATGTTCGATTTCAGATTGGACGCTAACATATATGTAACGCACTTATGGGTTATAAATTTTGATAACTTTTGTAGTTTTCGTGCTATTCTTTATTATACAAGTTATTCTCTACTATATCAAATATAGTTATGAATCATTGTAAGTGATTATATTAGTATCGAACTGAGAAACCATTGTATGAGACTGATACGCGATGGGATCGATTCGGATCTAATTGAAAGTAAATCTTTAGTAGTGTTTATTGAAGTCTGAATTATTTTTTTGATAGCCAAATGTCAAGTACTGATAAAAACACACAAATCATATCAGACTTCTATAAGAAGAAATTAAATCAGATAGAATGAATTATTAATACACTAGAAGTTCGGTTGAAATCGTAAAATGTTAAGAAAAAATATACTCAGGTTATTTTATTCAATGTAATAGAAATCAAAAGTGTAGACATACCGATAAATGTGGCTAAAGGAAACTTCTATCTATCATAATCAAAATATTTTTGAAACAAGTAAACTGAATGCATTACTACATTAAGGCTTCGTCTACACACTAGAAAAAGAATATGGTATTAATTTCGAACTAAAAGGTTTTTTTGTCTACACTTATGAATTGAATTCATCAGTCAAAAATGAGCAATGGCCACTATAATGTATGTAGTCGAAGTGCATATTATTCTAGCACATATTCACGAATCAAATTGTCGCTTCTGTCACTCTTTGACAAGTAATGACTGGCTAATGAAATTTATTAACAAACTATCTACCGTTCTGACTTACTTCTTCCTTTCAATAGTCTGTAACCACATACGTATGAATCATCGTTCTGACTACAGATTTAGAATTAATATATGCACTTAGGATGAAACTTATTTTTAAAAGATTTATATTTTTTTGCGTAATATTTCCTTTATCTCAGGTGATAGTTTTTCGCGTATGAAATTTTTTTTAATGGATCTTAATACTGAGGTTTACCTCGCGACATCTCGTAGATGTTACTCATAAAAGGAGACCATTATAAATTTTATTTCAAGATAAGCATATACACTATTCCCTGGAAACTACTTGGATAGTCGTAGTGTGGCGACATCATGCGCGTAAAACTCATTTTAGACAAAAATAAAATATATAGTTCGGTAGAGCACCTGAAATATACTATTTCTATTATTTTTTTTTTGGATATGCGGATTTGAACCAGCTGTTGCCATCTGTAGTGCATCATGTAGTCATATATTTTTTTCGTCAGACAACATACTACAACTACAGATTCGTTATATATTGTAATGTTGCCTATTCTTATGCTTTAGTCTCTATTCGCTTATATTTTATAGTTCATCATGTTGAAAATATCTATCCATCAATGATATAAAGTGATTTTATCGAGGCACATTCATCATTTTAATTAGTGGATCAAGTTCTTTCTCGATTGATGCATTAGATTTAATTCGTCTCTGATAAGTGTGTTAAATCTTAATTAACTTTTCAACCAACCACGTTGCTTAATTTAGCATTAACTTTTCTAGTGTAGACAAGGCCGAATATATGTCAAAAGCTAAGAGGATAGAAAATGGATGGATTAATATTTAATTATGAAAATGATCGATATCGATAAAAATAGGCTTGAATAAAAATCAATATGAACATTTTTTTTTCTTTATTGCTTGTACATAATATTTATTTTTGCTTTGCACGAAAAAAATAATTTATAAGTTGTTTTAAATAAAATGATGAGAACAAAAAGGAATCACGAATGCAAAAATAATTGAGACAAATCAATCTGAATTGCACATATAATTAAAAATGAAAGAACAATGAGAAAATGAGCTGTATTTTATAATGCGTTAACTATCAGAATTTTCTGTATTTTGTGTACTTGTTGATTCAGTTCCGGAATTCGGTGCTAACAATTTTGAAATAAATTCATCTTTTTGGCATCCTTCAACAAATTGTGTCATTGTTAATGAATTACATTGTTCACCAGATATATCATCAAATATCTTCATCATACTACGTTTAGCTGATCTAACTAATTGTTCCGTTTCAGCATTTGGTTCATCAGTTCGTTGAGTTTGATTGAACCGTACAATAACATCAATAACCTCTAAACATTCACTTCGTGTTAGTACACCATTTCCATCAATATCAAATACTTGAAATATCCATCCAAGTTTAGTGTTTGTTGAACTTGTTGTTGATGTCATTGATAAACCAATAAGAAATTCTTGAAAATCAATTGTATTTGATTTATCAATATCAAATGCACGAAATATATGGGTAGCAAAACGTTCGACATCAGCAGTTGGACATAAAGATTTATACATTGATATGAAATTTTTTCGCGTCATATAACCATGTGGACAATCAGCTAAAAATTTTTGATGCCTTAAAAAGTAGATTATATTGTGAAAAATTTTCTTTTTGTTTATTTATTTACCATTGTAGAATTTCTTCGCGAGTAAAATTTGTCATTGACGATAATATTTGTACTTCCATTTCGCTTAATAATTTTGATGAACGTGAAAATCGTCGAAATATTGATCGAAACCCTGATTCAATTTTATTGACAATTCCATGGTGTCCTCGGCGACTTGATATACTATATCATTGTTCTCAAATCACCTAGTTATTCGTCACGTTTTGATATCCTCGACGTAGTAATGAATCACGAATAGGACACATTAGTTTTATTATCTTTTTTTTTTTATGTAATACTCTTATTAATATGTTTATAAATATTAATCAATAACATTCGCTTTTTTTTTTCTCTATAAAAGCATAATAAGTGAAACTTTTGAAACTATTTCTGTGTTAGACTTGATTGTGATCAATAAATAATCGAAATAAACAAAATTATACATTGTCATTCAAGAGACTTTATGAACTTGTTCTAGCTCATGTTTATTAAAATTTAAAATATTACTCTTTCTTTATTCGAATAATTTTATAGAAGAGTCTAATTTTTGTTTTAAATATTAGCATACTTTTAGAAGATTTAATATCTGAAAACAAATGTCAGAATCATAAATGAATTCTTCTTAGGACATACTTACAGTTATACAAGTCCACTTTATTATATCTGAATATAGTCATTTCTTGACAGCATAATAAATCATCTGAACTGAATCTTTACAGAATATTTTCACTCTAGAGAATTATCATGATAAAGTATCTGAATAGTCTTATATAATGTACTATTCGATAATTGTCGATTACCCATTCCTGAATTTGATTTATATGGTACATCTAGGTGAGAATCGTGCAATGAATCAAGACTTGTTTGTGATGAACTACGTTGAGCCATTATTTCATCTTACAAACAAAAAAAAAGAAGTTCAAGTGTTATTCTTATATAATCATCAATGAATTTTATTCGTTTGTTTGTTTTGTCTCATACAGGTTTTTTCACTAATGAAAATAGATTTTGTCAAAAAAAAAATAAAGAAAAGTATCTGATCATAATCATATAAGTGTAACATTAGCCAATGCACAATATTTCTGTATATGTGATAAATGTTCCGTTGACAGTCCACTTTTCATTAGACTAAGAAACTAAAAAGAAAAAGATGTTTTTAATCAACAGACACAAAATAAAAACCAATCAACAAACTTGATTCGGATGAGCAGCTGTCAATGTGTGTAAGCATTTCGCTAGATGACACCGAGCATCAGGTATACTTGTGCTAAATATATCTGTATGAGGTTTCTTTGCAAAAGCCAAACAGGAAAAGGCTGGTGTATAGTCTTAAATAATACAAATAAAAATATTTACATAAAGGTAGATAACATCATGAATGACGCATTTTGTTTTTTTCCTCTGTGTATAGGTGTATGTATAATAGCTCCCAAAATGATTCGACCAGGTTTATTTACTATTAACTTTAATAAGAATTCAAATAATGATTTATCTAGAGAATTTTTATTTCTGATGAGAAATTTTCAAAGACGAAAATGATTTATTGAGATTTTGTAAGAATATGATTTCTCCGAACGTGAAATTATAGGCTTTTCATCTGCTGCAATTCATAAATAGAATTTTGTTTAGATTATCTAGAATAATACAGTAATTAAGTCTCTACAAAGTGAAACATTCTCAAACTCTCCTACAATGTGTTTTCTTTTGTCAAGATACATCAATTTTACGGAAGACAGAGAACATGACTTTTGTACATTTGATAAGATTGATGTATCTTACGAGGAAACTATTAAATCGCTTTTTGATCGGGTATATGCTCAAACGATAGATCTCAATGAGCTATTATATGCTCTATAAAAGTTTGCTTTTCCAAATCTCCTGAGCAGAGATATGCGATTATTACTATTACTAATTTTTCTGTACTACTCTACTAGCGTATTCTATACCTTGACTGAACAGTCTACGATCAGGCTCAAATTTATATCAGTAGTACGGGACTTAGTAACGATTAAGATCTCAGAGTTTAAAGATAAGTTATTGTTTCTTATCGAAGATATGAATCTATTTCGCCTACCGATTAATTATTAGAAAATAGCATGTGATTTTTCTCAAAGATGCAACTATAGATTCATCTGATATTTTCAGGATACATTCATTTCATAGTGAGCATGCATTTAGAAATTGCATCTTATTTGTCGGAGCTTGAGTTCATAAAAATTGTACCCATGAACTCATATACTTTTCATCATTTAATAAATTTTCAGTGATATATTTGTAAACAAGAAAATAGAGGAAATCACTCAATGGGTGAAAGTGAGAGTTTTTGAGAAAATGTTCAATACATATTATATAGTCATGATAAACTACATCCAATGAACAAAATATGAGAAACAATCATACCCATGATATTTGCAATAGTAGTAGAAATTAATTATCATGATTAAATATGAATATGTATTCAGTGCGGATATGTGCTCGATCAGACACTTCTTCTTTCACTTTACATATGAATCTCTTTTCAATTACATCAAGACACAATTATCTTTCTTTTCCGATTTCGACTATCAACGATTCTATGCAAAGAATGTATTCAAACAAAAAAAAAAGATTTAAGTCAGATCAATGAAATACGTATGCGAGATATCGACATCTTTGGAAAATTAAGTTTCGTATATCAGTACCGTATGTTCCATAATGAAAGTACACGAATTCAACGTTTCAGTTTTTATGAACTTAAGCCCGGACAAATAAACTGCGATTTCTAAATACATGCTCACTATAAAATGAATGTATCCTGAAAACATCAGATGAATCTATAGTTGCATCTTTGAGAAAAATCAGATGCTATTTTCTAATAAATAATCGGTAGGCGAAACAGATTCATATCTTCGATATGACACAATAAATTATCTTTAAACTCTGAGATCTTAACCGTTACTAAGTGCCGTACTACTGATATAAATTTGAGCCTGATCGTAGGCTGTTTAGTCAAGGTATAGAATACGCTAGTAGAGTAGTACAGCAAAATTAGTAATAGTAATAATCGCATATCTCTGCTCAAGAGACCTGAAAAAGCAAACCTTTGTAAAGTATTTAATAGTTCATTGAGGTCTATCGTTTGAGCATATATTCAATCAAATAAGCGATTTGACATTTGAGAATGTTCTCTTATCAGTCAAAGAACGACGTATTTCTCTATAGAACTGTACAAATTAATTCCTAGAGTATGATTTCAAAAATGACTTTGATTTGGTATTGAGAATTCATTGTTCTGTCAATCTTTTTTTAATAATAGTTTTGCTTAGTTGTGATTGCTTTATTTGAGGTTATTATTAGATTTCAGCGAATTTTAAAAACTGACATTTAGAATTGGTCGATATTTATTAGTTTTAAAAGAACATTCGAATAATTTCAACTAATTCTGAAACTTATTCAAAGAAATCAAACAATAATATCAAGTAAAAAAATTCAAAGTTGATCATTACTGACATGAATGACTGACGGAAATTTGTACTTCTGAATATTGGAAAGAAATATATTGTCATTGAATATGAATATATCAATTTCGAAAGTTTTAATTCAAAAGTAACGTATCTGTAATATTGAAAACTCAAAGATTCATGTCAGTTGTGTTCAGTTTTGAATACTATATCCGATGTTACTGATAGAACAATGAAATTTCAATACTAAAAAGAAAAGAAAGTCATCTTTGAAGCTATGGCTTAGAAATTGGTACTTCTCTATTGTTCTATCATTCTAAATAATTCAAACAGAATTCCATTTGTGAATTTCCGCAAATGAAAAACTACTAATCATTTTTATATTCGAAAATTCTTATTGAAAGCAAAATTCTCTACATAAATCACTATTTCGATTCTTATTAACGTCGATGGATAATCGATTTGGCTGAATAATTTTCGGGAGCCATCGTATTTTACTTAAAAAAGAAGTTTAATAACGTATTTTTTTATTCTTTTTTTTCTATAATGTTAAGCACCAAGCTCAAATCTCGATAATGATTTTAATATCTAATAAAGTTTTCTATCTAATGCATGCAAGGACAAGGTTTCTAAAAAGCAGAACACACCAGATTTCAGATATCGAAGTTATTTTTTAGCAATGCCGTTTTTGAAGAGGACAATAGAAGGGATCACCGCATTTTCTTCAAGTTTCCCTTAAAAGATTTTCGTAATACTTTTCAGTTTTCAATAGAAGGCCATAGAAAATTTGCCGATCTCTTATTTTATGCTCATTAAAACTAGATAGAAAACTACATTGACTATTACAATTAGAGGTGTAAGCCGAAGGATCAAACGGCGGCGGCTGTTTTAATGGTCCAATTTTTTTCCATGGCGGCGGTGCCTACTATACTTTATGTTTTTCTGCACCGGTGGCGGCTTTGACAACCAAAATAAACAAAAAAAAACGTTTTTGCTCCTAAAAATGTTAGTGGCGGCGGCGCATCGTACTATTATCAAAATTTTTCGTTCGTGGCGGCGGCTAAAAAATTTGTAAAACTATCTCCGATTCCGTGGCGGCGCAGCTGGATGACTTACACCTCTAATTACAATCACTAAATTCAAATTAGATGCTTAAAATTATTGAAAAAACAATTAAAAAGAAACATTATTGTTAAACTTGTTTCCATCAACTTATATATATATATTGTCGTTACCTGGTGTATCATCTAATCCACCAAGCAATTCTTCTTCAGCTTCTTCTTGTGCTTGTTTTTTTTTCTCTGCAGCTGACATTGTTTGTAATTCATTGCTTGATTCAAATAATTGAAGTAATGATTGTAATAAAGGTAACCATAAATGTGCAAAATAAATTCCACTTATCATTGGTATTGGATCACATAATAAATGTGTTACACCAATTGCACATAATTTCTTATCATTTTCATCTACTTTTGATAATTCAGGTAAAAATAAACGTTCAATTACCATTTGAAACATACTAAAATAAAAACAAAAGAATTTTATTATTTTGACATAAAAAAAAAAAAATTATTTTACTTTGCTTGAATATTATCAACTTGTGTTATAAGTTCTTGTGCACCATATTTAACAACAAAATA